GATTTGGTGATGGGAAACCCGTGGGGATTACAATCGAGATGGAAAAAAAAATGTGCAAAATGATGTAAAAATAAACTTTTGTAATAAAAAAAAAAGAAAGAAAGCAGCAGAATGCTGCCTAGCTTGTCAAGGACAAGGCTGGTGCCCAGAAACCAGCATCCCCGCGCTCTCCTGGCCGAGGAAGAGCACCTGGAGGTCGCCAGGGCACAGACGGGGAGGCAGGCTGGGCTCAGCGTGAGGCCACTCTCTGACCCCAAGGCCATCCTCACTCTTTCCTACATCTGCCCTTCTATCCCAGCTGGTTCTGGGGATTCACCTGGAACCCCCCCGGCAGGACCCGGGCCTGGAGTCCCAGCCCAGCGCCTGGACCAAGGGGGCTTTTCAGAGGGGGGCTGCTGCTTTGTGAGCTCTGCGGCCACTGCTGGGCACTTTCAGGAAAGGCTCTGTCCAGGGGCCACCCAGCGGCTTCTTCCAGAGGTGGGAGACTTGGAAAGAACAGCTCCAGGCATCCGCATTTCTTGGAACATCTCCAAGGTCCTGCAGACGCGGGGCCGGGCTTACCTGAGGGTCAGGAGGATGTGCAGGCCCCGGGGTGTGACAGAGGTTGTTCGGGCTCCCTCCGTGGGGCATGTGGCTGGACTGTCCTGCCATCCTGCATGCCAGCCTCACAAAGGCACGGGCTGCAAGAGAAAACGAGGGCTTTCTTTACCGACGCCTGTCCTGGGACGGTGGCACCTCACCTGCCCATTTTACCAGGGCAAGGACGCCGTGCAGCGCTCGTGACTGGCCGCGGTCACCAGAAGAGGCAGGGCTAGGACGCAGCAGAGGACAGCGTGGGACAGACGTCTCCTCCCTCATGCTGCCCTGCCGGGGTTGTAGGACAGTTGCCATCGCAGTGGTGAGAACTGGGGCTCAGAGCAGGGTGGCCCCGCAGCAGGGAGGCGCCAGACTCCAAAGCCGGGGTCCGCCCTCCACGCCTCTGGCCCCCACATGAACCTGGCAGTCTGGTTGGTCCAGAGAGAAAGACCGGAGTCAGTCTGTCCCTGTTAGGCTGGGGGTGCCCCAAAAGCCCGGAAGGGCAAAGTCACGGGTCCCAGCCTGGCACACCTCTCTGGGCGGGGGAGCAGCACCCCCACCTTCGGGCCCTGGGCAAAGGGAGGGGACGGCAAGGATGTTAGGTGCCCAGGCCTGAGCTACAGGTCGCATGGGTATGAGCCCGATGTCGCCTCCGGAGCCAGCACGCCAGCGTCCCAGGCAGGGCACGGAAGAAACTGCAAGGCCGGATACTCGAGGTGAGCCCAGCCGCCAGGCGGGGCGCCTCCGCTCCCCACAATCCTGCAGCTCCTCCTGCATCCAGGGTCAGGCAGAGCTCCCCGGGAGGCTGCCAAGGGGGAGCTGAGGCCATGTGGGCATGTGGCGAGGGCCCCTCCCTGAGCTGGCCACGGCCACTTCCACCCGACCTGTCCTGGCTGTCCCGGGGCGCATCCCATGGCACCCCACCGCCGGCCCAGCCCTGGAGCAGCTTGGGCTACAGCCTCTGAAGAGCCAGGCTTCCTAGGGAGGCCCTTCATCTCCGCAGGGGGTGAGTATGGACAACAGTGGCCTTGCCTGGGATTGGGGTCCTGGGGTGTGAGTCACACTCCAGGGACCCCAGGGGGCCAGCGGGTTGGGGCTGTGGTCCTGGGCCTGTTGCCACCACGCCTGATGGCCTCCCCCACACAGCCCCATCTCTGGGGCAGCACAATGGACTCGCACTTCCGGGGGGCCCACCCATGGGTGCACAGGGCAGAGGAAAGGTGTGGGTAGCAACCCACACCTGTGGGTTGCTACCGCCAGCACCCTGGGGTCTGCTCACACGCGAGGGCCGCCCCTCAGCCTCCTCTTCCCCACGAGGTCTCTTCCCCAGTCGCAGGCGTCCGAGGGCCAGCCCGCCCAGGCCAGGGGCGTCCGGGTCACCCTCTGACTTCCCCAAGGATGCCCACCAGCCTTAAATCACCCCTGGGCCTGACCCTTGATCCCTCACCCCCCGGCTCTGCTTTCAAAATCACCCCGAGCCTCGAGAACCTGCATGCCGGTGTCCAGTGCCCCTGTGTCCCCGCCCAGTGCCGCATGTCCCCTGCTGCTCTCCCTTGGACAGCGTGAGGCCACCTGCAGAAGGCACCAACTCAGCGGGCCAGCACCCTGCAGTCTCCTGCGGTGAAATCAGCGAAGCGCGATGGTGGGACCCACCAACCTGGCCTTACAGGGCCCCTCTGTCGACGGGGGGCTCACAGACTTGCCCCTTTTCTTTTTGCTGGAGTCGGCGTCACGTGGGTGCCCGTATTCTGGGGCTTCTCTCCCCGCCACCCCGCCCGCCCTGCAGCGAGACCTCTGCTCTGCCAAGCCCCCTCCTCCGCCTGGCCACAAAGGCCACTTCCTAAAGTGCAGAAGGGACCACAGCCCCCACAGCTGCTCCCCACCAGCGGTGTGGGTGCTCCCACTCGGGCGCACCCCCAAAGTGACACCGAGAGGGCCCGGCTATGGAGAGCCCCAGGATAAACAGATAAACACAGGCAGCCTGGTTCTCAGGGGGGCGCGAGGCGACCAGCCAGATGCAGAAAGAGCAGAATGTAAAATGCACATGAATTTCCAGATAAAACCGGAGACGCCCGCAGCTCTGCAGCTGCTTCAGGCTGCACCCCCAGACCCCTCGGGGTGACATGTTCACCATCCTCTGCCCTTAGGGAGACCTCCAGGGAACCGTGGAGGAGAAAGATCTCAGCAAGCCCTTCAGTCTTAATCTGGGAGCCCTGGCGCACACCTGCCTACCTGCTCTAGCAGCCCCTCCCGCCCCTCCAGCCCTCTGCCAGGGGTCTGGCACGTCTGCAGCGGGGCCCCGGCAGGTCCCATTAGGGGGACCCAGCAGGTGTCTGTGAATGTCACTTCCGGCTTCCCCGCGTGGCACCCCCGGCGCCCCCAACCTCTGCAGGCTCTGGGAGCATCTCGGGAGCTCAGCCCTGCCTCAGGCAGGCTGTGGGGGTATCTTGGGGTGGGGGGCTGGCCCCACAGCAGTGCTCCCGCACTGTGCTGGCTCCTCCTCGTGCACACCCCACCACCATGAGCCACTGTGTTTCAGCGCCCTTCGTGGGCCAGGGTCCGCGGTCATCCTGTTGTGCCCATGAGGAAACTGAGGCCCGAGGGGGCTTCGAAATTGGCCGCGGTCACAGGGGTCACAGGCCAGGACTCGAGCCCTGAGGGCACCTGCCTGCACGTGCCATTCGCACTCTGCACGGGGTCCAGGGGGCAACTCGTCACCTTCCTTTCCAGTGGCCCCCGACTCACAAGCCCCCTTGCCCGAGGGCAGGAGTGCCCGTGCCAGGGGTGGTCCTGGAGCCGTGGGCCGCGAGGGCCATGAGGGCCGTGAGGGCCACGTCCCCTCTAGGGTCGTGCTGCGCTCCGCACACTGACGTAAGTCTCTGTTGCTAAGAACGCCCCAGAACCAGGCCCCCAGAACTATAGGGAAATGCAGGCCAGCGAGGAGGAGGGGGTCTCTGTGGTCTACCAAGGGCCTGTGGTCAGGGGAAGGACACAGGGTGGGGGAGGG